GTCTCCTATGAAAGCGCTTCCCAGCTTGCAGGTTTTCTCTTCCATGCTGCTGAAATAGGAGGCAGCAAAGGACGTCGTCTGAAGCCTCAGCCTGGTTTGGGAAAGAAGCCGGCAGGCGGCAGCTGCTGCTGCTGGCGTGGCTTCTAGATGTATGTGGCGTTCAGCCTGCACAGCTTCCCTTGGTGGCTTGAAAATGTGAGGTGCAGCGTTGGGTCAAGGGAACTTGAAAAAAATTGGACGCTCAACTGCGCCACGAGAGACCCCACTTTCGAAGAGCCTGGATCCCGCCTGTCCGAAGCGAGGCCAGTTTGAAGGGTCCGAGGAGCACAGCGGCTGCTCCTGGGTGCAGGGAGCCCCGTGCAGAGTGGGCTGGGCGAGCCGCTCATGGCGGGGTCACGCGGTGGGAAGCCCCTGCCCCGGGAAGCCCGCCCCAGGCCTCCCATGCAGCCGCGGGACGGGGAGCAGGGCCTCAGAAGAGGCCGAGAGGCGGCATTTTAAGGGAGGCGCTGCTGCCATCGTTGGCCGTGCTCCCCGAGCGGCACCTGCTGGCAGGGCGAAGGGCAGCTGAGCCGGTGGGTTGCGAGCTTAAGGGGTTCTTCCAGGATCAGTGGGGCCGTGCCGGCAGCGGGACGGCTGCCTGGCCTGGGGCTCAGCCAAGGCGGTGCTCCTTCCTGCCTGGGACGCCAGCAGCGCAGGCACGGATCCTGCTGGCTGTCCTGTCCCGCTTCGCCTTTCCTGCTCTCGTCGTCCTGCTTTTGCCGCCGCTGTTTGCAGGCCAGGATCCCTGTGGGTTTTCCCTTAAAGACAAGGTCCCTTCCCAAGCCGCTGAGAGGCCAGAGCGCTTGCCACCCGGCAGCATCCCTGTCGCGGCAGGGCCAGATCACCCGTCCTCTGCCCTTCGTGCTGGGGATGGAGCCGCTCTGTCCTGCCCCCGCCTTCCGGCTGGCCGGCCAGGAAGCGTCTGCCGCCGTCCCGCTGGCATTGCCGTGCTCCACCTCTGGTCCGCCCGGCGTGGCCCTCGCGTTGCCAGCACTGACGACGGGCGCCCAAGCGCCTGCACTGGCGGGGCGCCGCGCCTCCCATCTGGCCTGCGCCTCCCCACGGGTGCTGCTTCCTCAGCGGGGGCCAAGGGCTGCCCCGCACCCGCCCCTCACCCCTCCCCCTTTATCGTCCTCGGCTGCAGACTATCCGTACTGCCTGGTGAGCAAGGAGCTGAGGAGCACGATCCGGTCGCTGCTGTCGAAAGCCGCAGGCGTCCTGGAGCTCTTCTTCGACCACTGCCTTTACACGATGCTGCAGGAGCTGGACAGGACGCCGGGTGAGCCGGGCAAAGCCCATCGAGCCCCACAGCAGCTTCTGGGTCCGAGGGCCTGCCCTGCGTGCCCCCCTGGGGAGAGAGGGCGGTCCAGCATGACGGTCTGCATGGGGGCGGGGGGGCAGCCTCATGTGCTGCTGAGGGCGGGCAGGGAGGTCTGCTCCCTGCAGGACTCCTTGAGAGCGGTCCTGGGCAGAGGGGGAGGCACCTGGGGGCTGGCCTGCCCAGTGGGTTTCTCGTGCTCCTGCGTGCGGCAAGGGGGCGCGCTCTGCTGCGGCTGTGGCAGCGGACGGGGTTGCAAGGAGCGAGGGCGGCAAACCGATCGGGGGTGAAGGCCGCCCAGCTCGCTCGCTCGCTCGCTCTCCTCGGCCCATGCCGTCCTGCACCGGAGCGCCCCGTTGTGCGAGCGCCCGCCTTTCCCTTTCAGGGGAGTCGCTGCATGGCTACAGGATCTGCATCCAAGCGGTGCTGCTGGACAAGCCCAAAATTGCCTCCATGACCTTGAGCAAGGTGAGTAGCCGGAATTGATGTGCCCCTCGGGGGGACCCCCCCACACACACACTTGTCCAGAAATATGCTTGCGGGCCCCGGAGGGGCATCTCTGCAGAGTTGAGTTTGGGGTGTCATGTGTCCTGGAACTGGATCTGGCCCTTTACGCCCTAAATGAAACGTTATATTATGTAGACATTTGGCTTGGAGTACTTGTAACGATGGGAAGCCTGTGCTTCCTCGCATCGGTAACATTGAGAAGAGCTCAAAGGTGTTGCAGAGGGCTTGCTGCTGGTGAGTTTAGCCTGTCCAAGGACAGCGCATGACCCAGGAAGCCGCTCTAATTCGGGAAAGCTCAGCTCATCCACAGAGGGTGCCTGGTGTGGGGCAGCGTCTCGATTCCAGGCGTGGGGAATTGTGGGTGTCCCATGCGACGCAGGAGGAGCACCTTCGCCCGTCCGGACCGTCCGGGGGGATGCTTTGGACTGGGAGGGAAGGAGACTGGAGTGCTGCGAGGCTGCATCACTTCTTCGTGGTACCCCCCCCACCCCCACAGATCCCCCTCGAGGGGGAGGGCCTTTATGACCTTTGAGAAGCTGCCACGGTGATTCTTTCCGCACAAGCTGTGAGGGGGGATTCTGAACACGGATCCCCAGCGCCAAGCTGGAGCTCTTTCTCAGCTATGGAGCTGGGAATCCAGTCAAACTGTGGGGCCACCTAGATGCCAGCTGTGGCCACAGAATTGTTCTGCCGGCTGCCGTATCCCCAGCCGGGCCACAGCTTGCGGCAGCCTTAGCCACACTAGCCTGCTGTCAGTTGAGCCAACAGGTGCAGCCCTCGGGGGCCAAGCCAGCATCTTTTCCAGCCTCGTCCGGAGCTGCTGGTGGGGAACGGGGGACTGAGCTGGGGGCTGGCTGCTGGGACGGAATCAGCACCGCTGCCTTTGCTCTTGAACTGAGGCCAGGAGTGACCCAGTCCGCCGGGCGGCTGGGCCAGCACTTGGCCTCCCCTTGGGAGGAGGGAAAGAACGAGGGACGGCCGTCCCCGGGGCAGCGTGCAGTGGGAGTAGACCTCCACATGGGGCAGGAGGAGGCCGGGATCATAGAGCAGTAGGGCCGGAAGGGCCGGAGGCCATGGGTCTGGCCCCGCTTGCTCCTCGCCAGGCTGCTGGCAGAGGAGGCGCTCCACCGGCCGGCTGCCTTGGCAGTCCTCTCAAGTCAGGCCGGGCGCATGCGCAGGCTACCCTTGGCGCTGATGCCAGACGGCTGGCCTTCCCGCGGGGGGCTGCCCACTCCTCATGGCTCTGGGGCAGCACCACGGCATCCCCACACTGCTACGAGATTGCATCTGGCAGGGCTCTCTTAAAGCAGCCCCCCCTCGGTGCAAGAAAAGGGTCCTCGTGCGGAGCCCCTGCTTCTGCTGGTGGCAGCGCCGAGCCGCTCTGGAGGGACTGTGGGCAGCAGGCGAAACAGGAGCCAGCAGCGGGATGCGGCCGCCAGAGGGGTAGATGCCACCTTGGGACGCGTTAACAGGAGCATCGCTTCCAGATCGCGAGAAGTAGCTCTCTTCTCGCTCGTGCCAGCGTGTAGCCGACTGCATAACCGGCTCAGGTTGCAGCAACCCAGGCTCAGGCTGGACACCAGGAAAGGCTTCCTCCCCGTTGGAGCCCCTTGTGGAGAGCCCCCCCCCCCCCGCTGGGAACGGGGGCCCTGCGCCCTCACTCCTGGCGAGCAGAAACAAAGATGGCCTTGCCCGCCGGCCTTCTGGCCGCTCCCTCAGTCAGCCCGGCAGCCCAGCGCTGAAGCCTTGCCTGAGGGCTCCTGCCTGGGCGCCCCCTTGGGCGGGCGAGGGAGGGAGGGGCCGGGACGCTCCCCACAGCTCTGCTTGTGCCCCCCCCGCTGGGAAGCCGTGCACTAACGCTGCTGCCTCGCCCTTCCTCAGTACCTCGAGCTGCTGCGGTCCCGTCAGAACCGGCCGGCCAAGTGCCTCACCATCATGTGGGCCCTGGGGCAAGCGGGATCCGCGGACCTCGCGGAAGGGCTGACGGGTGAGTCCCTGGCAGCGCAAGGGGCGGGGGGGTCCGGCAGGGGCGCCGGGCAGCCTGCTCCGTGGGCGGGGGCCTTTCCTGCAGCCTGCTCGGCTCAGGTGGCAGCCACGGGGCTCCTCTCCCAGGCCCACCTCGCTGGTTCAAGATCTGCGCGTGGCAGAAGCCCTGGCCCTGCCGTCCTGCCCGTGGGGGGGCCGGGGGCTGCTCGGCTTACAGCCACGGCTGCAGGTCAGTCCTAAGAGTCCCAGGAGAGTCGGCCAGGAGGGGCCGGTGAGGCCCCTGCGGCTCCCTGGGGGCTCTCCGGCTGTGCTCGGCCTTCCTCGCGGGCCCCCTCGGGCTGCCTGGCTGGCCAGTGCGGGCGCAGGATGCTGGGCCGGAGAGGCCCTTCCTAGAATCGCGGAGTCGGAAGGGCCGTGTCGGCTGCGGAGCCGCACCCCTCTCGGCTGGCAGCCCGTTTCGAGCCTTCCCCGCGGACGCCGCCGGTCTCTGCTGCAGCGCTTGCCGCGGGGGGTCCCCCGCTCGCTCCTCCTGCTCCTGGGGTGTGGTTCCTCCACAGCCGAAGCCGTGCGAGGCGCTTCAGGCTCCAGCTGGCCGTGCGTGGATGGGGCGCAGCTCCTCTCCCTGAGAAGGCCGCGGCCGCGTCTTTGCTGAGCAACGAGCAGATCGGCCCCCGCGGCCTCTCGTTAGGAACATGCTCCGAGGAGCCCTCATGGTGTGCTCTGCATCCCAGGCCCCCACGGCGCACGCTGTCAGTCGGCTGTCCTGACGCCCTCTGGCCGTTCCCTGCTGCCTGCCCTCGATGGCCGGCCCCCGGCCCCTCTCCTGCAGATGGCTCTCTTGAGTTTTAAATCGCTGCTCTTGAGCATGGTCACATTTTCTGTTTCCATCCCATTTTTCTCATTCGGGTAGTTTTCAATGGCACTTACCCTCCCTTCTCTTTTTGGGAGCTTCCTTCCTTCTGGCGCGCTTTCCCATTGGTTTTCCAGCCATCTGACTCATGGTTGCACGGGGCTGAGACTCAGGAGAGCCACATTCTAGTCCCCACTTGGCTCTGTGCAGCCCTGGCGAGGCCTCATCTGGAGCCCTGTGCCCAGTTCTGGGCACCACAGTTGGAGGAAGATGCAGACAAGCGGGAAAGGGGCCAGGGGAGGGCAGCAAGGATGATCCGGGGACTGGCACCCGAGTCCTGTGAGGAGAGGTGGAAAGAGCGGGGCATGTTTAGTCTGCGGGGATAGGGGGGCCTCCGCAAGTATGGGAAGGGCTGTCCCAGAGAGGAAGGCCGGGATCACCTCGATCGCACCAGAGTGGAGGGCACAGAATGACGGGCTCAAGGGGCAGGAAGCCAGATTCCAGCTTGACTTCAGGAAGAACGGCCTGTGACTGTTGGAGCTGTGTGACAATGGAGCCCCTGACTGGGGACGGGGGGCTCCCTCACACTGGTGGCTTTCAGGGTGCAGCTGGACAGCCACCTGAGGAGGGTGGCGTCCCTGGGAGTCCTGTGCCGAGGGGAGGGGGTTGGCCCCCGTGCCGTTCCCACTCTGCTATGGTCTGAATTTGGGCCAGTTGCAGGGTTTCAGCCTCGCTTACCCAACAGGGTGGTTGTGGGGAGAAAATGTAGGGGGCAAAACCTGCAGCCTGCGTTGGGTCCCTTGCAAGAGGAAGAACGGTGGGTTCCCAGGTGGGATGGAGGAAATTGGCGTCCTGCCCCAGCGGCGGGTTGGGCCCGGGGGCCTTTGTGGCCGCTTCCAGCTCGACGCTGTCCAAAGAGCAAGCCACGTGGCCTGCAGCACAGCCCTGGAACGGGGTGCGGGGCTGGGGCTGGGGCTGGGCTTGCCAGGGCTGCCTCACCCGGGCCCCCCACAGGCGGGCGCGTTGAGGGCTCCCGTGCCCACTCCTCTCTCCGCAGTGTGGCTCAGCATCATGCTTCCAGTCCTGGGAATGAAGTCTCTCTCTCCCTACGCCATCACCTACTTGGACCGGCTGCTGATGTGAGTCCCTGCGGGCCAGCGGCCATTCCAGGATCCCGCGGGCGGCATCCCCCCCACACCTCCAAGGCACAGCCGGGGGGGCTGCGGCCCCTCGGGGGACCGGCGCTGCTCTCGCCCCTCCGTGCTCCCTCAGCGATGCCCAGGGCTTCCTGCTGCCAGAGCAGCCGGTGTTGTGGGTTCGCTTAGTTGGTCTGGGAAATGTCCTGGCGCTCTGGGGCGGGGGGCAACTCATGGGCCCCCACTTTCGGCGTCCGGCTCCTGCGCCGCCCTGTCGGCCGGGCCGGCCTGGCTGAAACCGGCTCCGCTCCCTCCGCCAGGCTGCATCCCAACTTGACAAGGGGCTTCGGCATGCTCGGACCCAAGGACTTCTTCCCTCTCCTGGACTTCGCCTTCACGCCCAACAACTCCTTACCCTCCAGGTATGGCAGCCGGGAGGAGCCCCACGGGGCCCCCACGCAACGCGTGGCCCGACCCTGCACGTGGTGGGGGGTGCCGCTGCCCCAAGTGGAGCAGCCTGGGCTGCCCCCAGGTCCAGGCGCTGCCGCCGCCGCCCCTGCTTCCAGGGAGGGGTCTGCAGGGGCTCGCGCCTGTGCCAGAATCACTCGAGCAGGTCCGTGTCTCGCACGGAGGCCCTCGGCCTTAGGAGGCCAGCGTGCGGGTGCGGGGTTGTCTGGGGGTGCCGTCGGTCTGCAGCGGCCTCTTTCTCCAGCCTGCAGGAGCAGCTGCGCCAGTTGTATCCCCGCCTGAAGGTGCTGGCCTTCGGGGCAAAGCCGGAGACTGCCTTGCACACCTTCTTCCCCTCCTTTCTGTCCCGGGCCCTCCCCAGCTGCCCCCCGGCCATGAAGAAGGAGGTGAGGCCAGCAGGAGGCTGCGCTGGGGGAGGGGGGCGCGTCGGGCCGTGGGGGCAGCCGCAGGGCCTGCCCCCTTGGCCCCGCAGAAGAGCTCGGAGTGAAGAGCGGCCCCCGCGCAGCGTCGGGGCGGCTGGTGAGCCCGAGCCGCCATGGCAGGCCACCTTGGACAGCCGGGGGGGGCAGGGAGTGAGGAGGAAGCCATGGGTCCTGCTGCCCCCCCCCCCCGGGGGCGGTCCCCGGCCTGCCTTAGGAGCGCAGGAAGCACCCGGCTGGATCAGGCCCGTGGCTCATCCTGGCAGAGCGGCTGCCCATGGGATCCCTCGCGCGGGGGGCGGGCGAGAGCGCCGCCTTCCTTGCCTCCAAGGAATGGCCGGAAGCCGTCCCATCTGGGAAACGGCTCTTCTGGCCCCACGGCACAGGGGCTGTGGCCAGGAAAGGGCTGGGGGAGCACCGGGAGGGCGAGGGGAGGCGGGCATCTCCAGGCCTCGGGGGCGGCCTGTGCCCCCGGTCCCCTTGCGAGCCGGGGCCGTCCCGGGCCGCTCTTTGGGGGTCTGTTCCTGAGCTGCTCTCGCCCCGTGCAGCTGCTGGACTGCCTGACCGCGTGCCTCAGCCTCGACCCGCTCAGCTTCAGCGTGTGGCGGCAGCTGTACGTCAAGCACCTCCCGCAGTCCAGGTGAGGCGAGGCGCGGCGCGGGGGCCGCCGCTCGGCTGCACAGGGCCCGCCGGGTTCGTGCTCGGCATCGCGCCCGCTGCCGGCCGGGCGCCGCTTGGCGTTCTGGGAACGTCTTGGTGGAGCGGGGAGGCAGCCGGGCTCCTGGTGCTCTGTGCCCGGGCGCCTTCCCTGGACCCGAGCGCGGAGCTCCAGTGGCCTTGTGGTGGATCGGCTCGGCTCTGAACCTCCTTCCTTTCCCAGCCTGCTCCTGAATCACTTCCTGGAGACCTGGGACAGCACTCCCAGAAAGGTGCGTGGGGCCTGCCCTTCGGCCAGGGAACGGTTTTGCTCAGCAGGGTCGGACGTGCCGCACGGCAGTCACGGCGGGAGGAATTTCCCGCCAGAGGAGCCGCCTCCCCCGCCTGAGGGCCCGCCATGGGGAGCAGATGGGGGCAGGCGCTTAGTGCCGTTGCTCCCTGGGGCACTGCCGCTGCCGTAGCCACGCTTGTGACTGACGACTGGCTATCTTCTGGACCCCCCCGCTTGTAATCCTCCCCCCAGCCAGCCAAAGTACAGAGCCCCCTGTTCCTGGCGGCTGCCCCATGAGCGCCGCTGTCTCACGGGGGCCTTTGTGGGGCTTTTCTAGGTGCGAAGATCTCTGCAGGAAACGGTTCGTTCCTTCACGGTCACCAATGAGGAGCTGGCCACGAAAGGACCGGGCAGTACTCAAGACGTGGCGGCCTGTGGCGTGGCCTGCAAGGTAACCTCCAAGCGTGGAGGGGCAGGTGGCCCAGGACCCCCCCCCCCCGGTCCCGGGTTCCCAGAGCCCTTGTCCTGATGCCGGCTTCCCGGCCTTCCTCCGGCAGGACCTGATGCTCAAGGTGAGGGCGGGCAGCTTCCCCTGGCTGCGCCTGCTGCTGGTGCTGCTTGTCTTCACGACGGGGTTTCTGATGCACGACGTCCGGACGCACGGCTCCTTCCAAGGTGGGGCGATGCCTGCGGAGGGGGGGAGCCTCCGTGGACCCAGCGGCCAGGCGGCGCAGGCCCATCCGGCCGGGTCGGCAGCGGGCCGTTCCCGGCCACAACCCCCTCAGGAGTCTCTCTGTTCCCCAGCTTCTGCCACAGCACGTGCCCTCCGCGCCTCCGGCATCCTGTCGGCGTCCCAGCAGGCCTGGAGCAAAGCTTCCCATTTCTCCGCGGAGGGTGGCAGGTCAGTGGCTCGCCACCAGCCCCTTCCCTCAGCGAGGGAGGCGTTCCCTGCCAGGCCCCTCGCAGGCCGGGCAGAGGCCCTCGGGCGCCAACCCCCCTCTCCGTCTCCGCAGCTGGCTGCGCGCCAACGTGCCGCTCTACTGCTCCCGCCTGGCGGCGGTGCTGAGACCCACCCTGGACCTGGCCTGGACCACGCTGGGGGAGCCGGCCGCCGGCCTCTGCGGGAGGTGCGGGGCGCAGCTGGCCTGGCTCGGAGACGGCGTCCTCGGGCTCGTGGAATGGGTAAGCGGCCTCCTCCGCAGCTCGGGCCCGGCCCATCCCTCCAGCATCTCGGACAGCTTCCTGCACACAGAGGATCAGCAAAGGGGGGGGGGGGGGGGTTGGGGGGCCACGCCGGGGCAGAGGGGGCCCTGCCCTGGCCGTACCCCAAGTGGGGCCCTGGCCTGGCACGGGTCGCTCGAGCTGACTGCGCCCTGCCAGCAGCGGCTCTGGCCCCCCACCTGGGGAGGCAGAAGGCCCCTCGCTGGCCTGCCGCACCAGGAGCACCTCTGCCGTGTGTCCCAGCAGCCCCCCCCCCGAGCCTGCCCCCCCATTCTAGCTGCACTGTGGGTCTTCCGTCAATGGCCTGTCGGGCGTTAACTGGCCCAGACCCTCGGCACAGACCTCAGGAGATGGCCCTGGAGCCCCCGTTGCCCCCCGGGATTTGGGGAAGGTGCCGCCGCCGCTGGGCCCACGTGCTCATTCGGCTCACGGCTTCTCGCCTCGCGTGCCTCTGGGCGCGTGTGGGGCTCTCAGGCTGGCGGGATGTGCCAGGAAGTCGCCCTGCCCTGAGCCGCCTGCCTTTCTCTGCCAGCTCCGGGCCCGGCTCCCGGACGCGGTGCTGCGTGCGGCAGGCTCCCTCAAGGAGCTGCTGCTCTTCCTCATGCGGAACTACTTTCTTCCCGCCGTGGACCGTGCTGTGGCGGCCCTGGATGGGCTCTGGAGGCTCTGGATGGCCCCCTGCAAGTGAGTACTGCCGGCGGGCCTCGGGCCCCGCGCAGAGGCCTGCTCCAGGAAGCAGGGATGGGGGGTGCCGGAGGCAGCGGGTCCCCACTCTCGGCTGCCCAAGCCGACTGCGGTGAGAGATGCGCAGGGCAGCCTGCGAGGAGCCCGGGGGAGTCCCAGGGAGACGGGCGCGGCCGACTGTGGGGTGGCATTCGCGGCACGGGGGCTGCATGGCGCTGACCTCTCCCAGCCCCCCCCCCTCGGGAGAATCCGCCGTCCCGAGCATCGCCCCTTCCTGGCTCAGGGCCTTGAAGGCAGCCCGGCATGGTGGGCCTGACCGGGCCCTGGAGGCGGGGCTGGATTCCGTGGGGTCGCGGCCCTCCGGGGGGCTTCGCATGCTCGTCCAAAGAATGAGTGACGCGAGATGGATAAAGCGAAGCAGGCTGGCTTTGCACAGGTGGGGCTCCCCTCCAACCAAGAAGGCTGCCCCACGCCCGCTCCTTGTCTGCACGGCATCCGTGGGTTCTCCCTGGGCACGGGGCATTGTGAGCAGGTGGGGTCCCTGCCCCCTTGGATGTTGCAGAGCACCCCGAGCAGGCGCCCCCCCGCCGCCCCCCCGGCCAGGACAGCCTCCTTCGGCCTGGCACCCTCCAGGCGTCGGAGTGCGACTTCAGCGTTCTTGGCGGCACGGCGGGCAAGGGCAGGGTGTCCAGAGAGCTCCCGGCGGGCCTGGGAAAGCCTTCGGAGCCTGCCAGCGGGGCTCGGTCGCAGCTGCCTCGTGCCGCTTTTCCCAGCCTGGTGCCCTCCCAGTCACGCGACAGTATTGGCCGTGCTGCTGGGAGTTCGGTAGGAGTTGGAATCCAAAGGGGCTGCAAGGGCTCTGGCTGGGGAGCGCTGGCCAGGGGCTTGGCAGTGGGGGCTACCTGCAGAGAGGGCGGGGGCAGGCGCCCCCACGGCCGTCTCCATGCCCGGAGGCTGCACTGCGCCTCCGTTCTCTGACTGCGCGCTCTGTCCCTCTTCTAGAGACGAGGAAACCTGGGACTGCGTGAGGAAGCAGCTGGTCAGCCTCACCCGTTCCTCCTGGACGTTCCTGCAGGACACGACTGTGGCGATCAAGGACTGGGCCCTGGCCGCCCTCTCCGGGCACTAGCACTGGCCGTGGGCTCGGGCCAGGCAGCAGGGAACGCACCATGTGCCGGCGATGTGTGCCGGGCGCCGGCTGCAGGGCGTGGGTGGCACCGCTGACTGGCCGCTGGAGCCCCGGTCTTCAGGCCCTGTGCCCCCCACCGCAGCGCCCAGGGCTGGCCTCGCCACTGGCTCCGGCCTCGCCCAGCTCGTCCCCTGGGCTGGGGCAGGCACGGCTTGAGCGCTCTCTCCGTACCGTCCTCGTGCCTGCAGCCAGGACGCCGTTCCCCCATACACCGGTGGTCGGCCCTTTCTGCCTGCAGCTCCCAGAAGGTGGTCGCTTGGCATGGCCTCTGGAGCCAGGCCTCAGCTTGGGGGCTTGGGCGGAGAGCCCCGTCCAGTTGCCCTTCCCTCCGGCAGTGGCCGATGGTGGAGCCGGGGGCAGCAGCTCTTGCCCTGCAGCAGGCCCAGCCATGTGCTGGCTGAAGCGAGGGAGCAGGAGGGAAAGGGCAGCAGTGGGGGGGGGGGAACAGCTGGCTTCGTGGACCAGTGGTGACCGCTGTCGGTCGGGGGCACTGCCTGCCGCTCCTCCGCTTTGCGAGCTGCACTGGGCGGACGTTGCTGCCCGCCGCCCAGCCGGAGGAGCGGGCCAGGTGGGGACGGGGGCCTGGCGCAGCCCTGCAGCGCCCCATCCCTCGCTCAGTGCAGGGAAGGGAGGTGCCCGAACGTGCGCTCCGTGGGAGCACTCGGCTGGCAGCAGCTTCGTCTGCAGCTGCCGCACGGGTGCTGCGGGCACCACTGTGCGTGGGTGCGAGTCTGCAGAAAGCGCGTTTTCGGGCCCCCCCGATCGCTGCCCGGCACCGTTCTCGCCTTGCCTCGGCCGGCCTTGCAGAGGTGGTGGTACTCCGTCAAGACGATTGTGTACGGCTCGCGTCACATGCAATAAAGGAAAATATATTTGATGACATGACTCGCTTTCGTGGTGCTTGTCTCTGCTGCCAGGCGGGAGCGGTAGGAACACTCAGCGCCCGGATCTCCAGGCCCTGGTTGGAGCCCTCTGCCGATGGCTAGGCTCACGAGGCGCTCCGGGTGTCCTTTCCCTGCAGCTCTCGCGCACACAGCAGCCGGTCCCAGGGATCTTGCCTTTTGGGGTGGGGCGAGCAGCCAGCAGCGGCCTGACTTGATCTCCGCCCCCTTGTTTGACTGCCAGCCCAGGGCATGGGGCAACCCTCTTCCAGTGCATCCACGTTCTTCCTCTGGGCTTTCAGTCCAGTTTTCACACCCACGCATAGTGTACGGAATGCGCTCCCCAGAGAGGTTCACCTGGTGCCAAGTTTCTATTCTTTTTGGCGCCAGGTTAAAACCTTTCTGTTTAAACGGTATTTTAAAAATTAGTATTTTTAATGGTTATTAACAGTCGCTTTTCATTTGATTTATTTTTCTTGATTATTATGTATCATTTATTGTTTTTATTGAGATTTGTATTATCTTGTTATTTATACTGATATTTTTGTAAGCCGCCCTGAGGCTGCAGCAAAGGACCACGCATAAGTGCTTTAATAATAATAATAATAATAATAATAATAATAATAATAATAATAATAGTGAGCAGGAGGACAAGAGCTGGATGATCTTGGCCTTGGCGCATCACCTGCATGCTTGATCGTCTTTTCTAGTAGCTTCACTGCCTCGCTTCCGAGGCTCTGAATCGATGACCGAGCTGAGAACGCGCCATTTTCGCAGCTCGCCGAGGCGCGTTCAGCGGCGCTTGGCGGCCCCACTGGGCGGTGCGCCGGAGAGGCCCCCACACCGCAGGCGGCCTGCCCGGGCTGGGCTTGCGCAAGGATCGCGGCACGTCGAAAATGCAGGGAGCGCTCGGCCTTCTCCAGGCCCGCGCGCGAACGGGGCCCCGCCAGGAACCTCCCGCGGCCGCGCTCCTTCGGCGGCGGCCCCGGGCTCTCCACGCGGGGCGCGCTGCCGGGAGCCTGCCCTGCGCGGCCCCTCCTCGCCGCCCGCGTCGCTCGGGAGCGCTGCCCAAGGTCCCCGCGGCCCGGCCCGCGCTCGGAAGGGCCCGCCCGGAGCGCCGCCCCCG